TTAGAGTCAATGACAATATTATTATTACTTTTTTTGTTATTTTTTTAATTTAACTTGATTTGTTTACAACTCAACGTAATTATATTACTGTCGTTGACAGTAAAATAACTGTAAACACAATAATATTATTGTCAACCACATCTATATTATTATTTTTTGGTTTTTTTGTTTTGTTTGAGTTATTCACGGAGTAACGCAATAATATTACTGTCTATTATTGTAATATTACTGTATACACAATAATATTACTGTGATTGACGGTAATATTACTGTTGTTATTGTAATATTACTGTCAATCATAGTAATATTAATTCTTTTGGATTTTTTATTATGTTTACCTTTGTTGAACGACAACATATTAATGTTACCCTATTACACAATAATAATGAGTTTTATTGTGTTAATATTATTGTGCTAGAGATTGATATAGTGTTAAACTGTAATATAATTAATTTTACTGTGTTTAAAAGTAATATAGTTAATATTACTGTCAACCACAACAATATTGCTGTTTAAACGGGGGAGAGAAAGATGTTAAAAGAAAACAAAAAAAACAAAAAAGTTAGCCGGTCAACGCCGGAAACTGGTGGCGAAAAATCGCCTAAAAAAAGTCAACGACGGTGGCAGACGAAATTATCTATAAAAATCTGTTTTGGGTCAAAATTGAATAATTTGTGAAATTTGGAGTCAAATTGAGGTTATATTAAATTAAAGGATGAAATTGCAGCATATTAAAATACGAGGGGTTATTTTAGTCTTTTACAAACCTCTGGACAATTTGTGGACTTTTTTGTCAAAGAGTTTATTGTCTGGACCTCTTTATGAATAAGTACCCATTGATGGGCTTATTTGTAAAGTGTCCATGCTAATAAGTTCGTAATCAGGTGCAATTAGTTAAAACCGTCATTTTATATGTTACTTAATAAAATGGTGTTAATTAAACCAAATCGTATTTTCACCTCTATATTTGGTAGGAAAAATATGATTTGGTGGAAAAAATAGGAAAATGGTGGAGTAGGAGATGAAAATTCTTTCACAAAAAAAATTAGAATTTGAATATATGGTGATATGGGATTGACCACGGTGGAGACTAAAATTAAATCTCCATAATTTTAGATATAATGGTGATATAAGAATTTCGGATGAAAGGCTAAAAAGACCTAAATTAAATGAAAAAATGGCGATATAACGACCTGTCGAAGAATCTCCATAGTTAGTGTTATTTTTTAATTACTAATTTTCCGCTCCATCTCTGATTCGGTCTTTCTTTGATATGTAAGAGTGATCTATGGAAGAGGATTCATGACTCAGAGCGAGGCCAATAGTCTTGGTAGTTATGTACAACTCAGTTGAAGAAAGAGAGTGAGTCAACTCATGACTCGTGTGATTCATGAGAAAATAGAGAATAGGATAATGCTGATTACGTTTGTCTTTGCAATCGACCTTTGCCATGAAGGGTGCGCTCGGATGGCAGGTCATCACCACATTAATAAGGGCCGGTTTTGAGGGGAAGCAAAGTAGGCGGTCGCCTAGGGGCTCTGAATTTTTACGAAAATTTAGGGCCCCCAAATATTTTTAGGCAAAATGAGTTTTTTAGTCCTGTAAATTTTACTAGTTGGGAGTTTTAGTCCACCATATTTCAAAATCAGAATTTTAGTCCCGTAAGTTATAAAAGTTGGGAATTTTGGTCCTATGACCTGCTATAACATGTAATGTGATGGTTGGTTGAATGAGTTGGCATTTAAAGTATACAAATAAATACATTAAAAATGAATTAGGTGATGTTGCTAATGAGTTGGACGATTTTATTTGATGAATGAAATAAACATTTTTTTAGTAATTATTTTTTAATTAATATTTCATAGTTGTCAATTGACAAAATAGTAGTTAACTACATTTTATAACTCGTTATTGATATTTGTTTCTCTTAGTTTGATAACGTATTTTATGTTTGGAGTCACTAGAATGTTTTTTTGGTACATTTAATAAATAGAGTTTTGAACATAGTTTATTATTTTTTTGGTTAATTCGTAAATGTGTATTTGAACTTTTATATTAATTATGATTGTGCATGTCATTTAACTTTACAACAAGTTTTCATAAAAGGTTTTTCTTTTCGTATTTTTGTTGAATTTGATTGTTGGTTCAATTTCATTGTAATCACTAAGTATAGATTTGTAAAAAATAAAATATTTAGACAAATACGAATTTAATTACTACTTTTATCAAATAAAAACTAAGAAATATTAATTAAACATTAGTTAGCGTTATTTCCTTCATAAAAAATATAATGGTAGATTTTATTCAATAATTTATTGTGGTTCTTTATTGCAAATATAATAAAAAAATAAATATATAAATTAATATGCTAAAATTTCCTCATTATTTTGGTGAATTTGACAACGATGATCAAATTTCTCTCCAAAATCATCCAACTCATTAGCCACATCACCTAATTTATTTTTAATTTATTTATTTTTATATTTTAAATGCCAACTCATTCAACCAACTATCACATTACCTGTTATAACAGGTCATAGGACCAAAATTTTCAACTTTTGTAACTTACATGACTAAAATTCTGATTTTGAAACATGGTGGACTAAAACTCTCAACTAGTAAACTTATAGGACTAAAAACTCATTTTGCCATATTTTTATATACACAGGCTCTGAATTTTTACGAAACTTTAGGGCCCCAAATACTTTTATATACGATTTATATATCAGTACTTATTTTTAAAATTTGTTATATATAATATTTTGGAACATAAATCCTAAAATAAATTTAAAATTAATGATCAAGTAGATATTTTTACAATTTTCTTAACCTTGGGGCCCCTAAAGTAAATTTATAATGTCTTAATTACTTATTTTTATTCCTTAAATTTGAATCAATATTCATTAGTTTATTCAAGTTTTTTTTATAAAATATTTGTGAAGTCTATTTGCTATAAAGATTATATGTCACGGTAGGAAGTGAACCAACAAATCATTCGGTTAATGTTGAAATTTTTCTATATTTTTAGTTATTTTATATTCATACATTTCATAAAAAATCGGAGGCGCTGCCCCCCGAACCCCTGTAATCTTTTAGTCCGTCACTTTTATGAAATGTTACTCATATACCCTGTAATCTTTTAGTCCGTCACTTTTACTTTTATGAAATATCATTTATAATCTTTTAGTATATTCAATTTCGAACACCCTTATAAATAAATTATTTTTCCCCCGAATTCTTTTGAGTTATTCTTTAAATCTCGCATAGGCAACGGCCATGTCATTAATAAAATATTATTTTTTGTGTCGGAGGGTAGATGGCACGTACGAGCGATTTGACTCGGCTCGGCTCTCCCCTCCGCGTGTGTGTTGTCTTCTTTGTTCTTTTTTTTCTTTCCCTTCCGTTTCGTCTTACTGCCATGGCAACACTTACAACTCCCAAACTACTTTTAATCAAGAATAATCGAACAGAGAAACCGACTTATTGTATAGTGTATTAAACAAGCCAGATTTGAATTTTGAAGGCTCTACGATCTCGTATTGCAACCACCAAGTTACTTATCAACTGATTCTACGAGTTAAATTTGTGGTCGTTCGACGGAAGTTTTGTTGTGAATATTTAGTTTGGAGCTTAAAACAATATTGGAGCCGGACCTCCTTAGTCTAGTCGTGCTTATTTACGAAGCTTGAAGAACTCGTGCTACGTAATTTGTTGCTGTTTCGGATCGATTGAAGCCGGTGCTCGGGATTTTCTTGAGATTGATGATGTGGCAGCTTGTGCTTATATGCTGACAAGCCATACGAAATTTTGCCACGCTGTAATGCTGGGGAAGAAGATTCTGTCAATGAGTTCTCGTCTTGGGAGGTATTTTCTTAATCCAGACTTGATATTTGATTTAGTTAAATTATGATTAAAATTGTACATTCCAATTTTTAGAAGAGTAGGTGAAATATGTGAATCAAAATAGTAAAATTACGGACTCGCGGTCGGTTACTTAAGTGGTTTCTTGAATTATTTTCTACGTGCATGTTGTTCTTCGATTATGTGTTAAAACAAGGTGGCTAATTATTTATAATTACTCGTTGTTTCAGGAGTCCAGTTAATGCCGAGGTTAGCTGATGGTTGATTGTTGATGGCCTGAGATTATATAATAATGAAGGAACCTTCTAGAATCTAACAAGGTATTTCTTGTATATTTTAGCACGGTGATTTGCTCCAAAATGGTCGAGACGATGACGTGGGATATGATTCATTGATTTGCTCCAAAATGGTCGAGACGATGACGAGGGATCTGATTCCGCCGGAGGGGTACCTGCAACGCCGGGAGGGGTTTCCCGGCGTAGAAGCTCCGACGATCAAGTCAGTTTTTATCGAGAGATAATTGAGTGTGATATGTAAGAGAGAGCATAGAAGTGATAAGTTGAGAGTAACTCCCTATTTATAGGTGAGGATACTTGATGGACAATAAATAAGCAAACTTGCCCTAACTCCTCTTCTTGGGCCTGATATGATATTGGGCCAAATACCAGTGAAAACTCAATCCACGGCCCAATAAATGATTAGGAAACCCCATGAGGACAATTTGGTCCGTATCAACTACTGCTCCCTACTCCGAAGTCTAGAAGTCGTGATTAGACTAGGAGTATTATTCACATGTTGTCTTTTCGCCTTACATCGTTTTTTCTCTGGTTGTATGACTCGTGCGCTTATCTCGCCGCATTGGCTTGAATGTCTTTAGCGATTTTCATACTCGATTTGATAGGCTATTCTTGCCTATTATAACAACTCATTTTTGCTCGATTTGACGCCTCATTTTTTCCTCGATTAAACAACTCATTTTTGTTTCGATTTAACAACTCATTCTGTGTGATTTAACGCCTCGTTTTTTCCTCGATTAAACAACTCATTTTTGTTTCGATTTAACAACTCATTCTGTGCGATTCAACGCCTCGTTTTTGCGCGATTTAACGCCTCGTTTTTGCGCGATTTAACGCTTTGCGCGATTTAACGCTTCATTTTTGCATTTATCTCGCCTCATTTTGTTTTGATTTAACGACTCATTTTCGTGCGATTTAACGCCTCGTTTTTGCATTTATCTCGCCTCATCTCGTTTCGATTTAACGACTCATTTTCGTGCGATTTAACGCTTCATTTTTGCATTTATCTCGCCTCATCTCGTTTAGATTTAACGACTCATTTTCGCGCGATTTAACGCCTCGTTTTTTGTTCGATTAACGACTCATTTTGCGCGATTTAACGCCTCATTTTTGCATTTATCTCGCCTCATCTCGTTTCGATTTCCAAGCTAAAAACGGCATCTTTCAGGGCTAAATTTTCCGCCTTTTGCAACTCAAGCTTCCCTATCAACACACTCATTTCCTTTTCGAGGCTAACATTGACCTCATTTTGTCGGTTCAGATCTGCGAGAAGTAATTTCACTTCTTCGGTTTTCTCTTTCCCGAAACTCCTCAAGACTTCAGATACATTAGCAGATGATAAAAATTCAAGAATTGCATCCTCGTTATACCGATCTAACTCGTATTTCTCATCTTTCAGATCCGAAAACTTCTTCAACAAATACGTATTTTCTTGATTCACTTTCAAGTAAACTGCCTGTAATGCATTATACGCCTTCTGCAAGTTAGCTTGTTTGACACAAAGACTCCCGAATTCAGCCTCGAGTACAGCAGCTTCTTCACGACCTTCACTCGCATCCGACTTCAATTTCCTATTTATTTCCACAAGTTCATTTTTTTCGTGTTCGACAGCACTAAGCTTCTCAGCCATGAGTTTCGACTCTTGCTCCAAGTGTATTTTCTGCGTCTCGATTTCGACGCCTTTTGACTCCAACTGTTCGAGAAGAGTTAAAAGAACCGAGTTTTCAACCAAGAGCTCTTGCTTTTCATCCTCGTATTCCGAAAGAGAACACTTCATATCTTCAATACTTTCAAGAATGCAATGCAAGAAAGTTTGTTCGTTTTCGACAACCTTTTCCTCAGGAGCAATTCCCAATCCCCTGAAAATTCGATATATTCCCAATCTCAGCCTCTCGATTTCATCCAATAGGAGCTCAGATTCAACTTGCTGCTCAAGACTTTCACCCTCCAGTTCGGATATCAATTTCTCCGCTAATTTCGATGCCTCGACGTGTTTTTGACACTCAATAATGAGAGAGTAGTTCTTCTCTTCCATATCTTTTATAAATTTATGCAAGATGGATATTTCGAACTGCGCTTTCAAAGCTTTATCGAGTTCTTGCTCTGTTTCTTTTTTCTTACACGTGTTCTCTTCTTCAAGGAGATTGATTTGATTTTCGAGCCCGGCCAATCGGGTTTCGCTCAAAATCTGAGAGCTTGTCCGTTCTTGATTTTCCTCATCCAACGAAACCTTGAGCTTTTCGACTTGATCGTGCATGGCTTCTTTCTCTTTCTCTAAATCAGTGTATTTTTCTTCCAACCCCATAAATTTTTTCTCCAAAATCTTCAGCCTTCTCTCCACATTTTCCAGCTTCGAAACTAAACTGCCCCTTTCGGTCAAAAGACACGATCTTTCGTTCTTGAGCAATTCGCAAATCTCCTCTAACCTTTTCGATTTTTGCCTCAAACCTTTGAGTTCGATTTTGGCGGTGGATAGTGAATTCTCCAAAACGGCGTTTCTTCCCACTAAACTCTGCATATTCTCGGTCATGGTTTTTTCTCCGTAAATAAATTGGCCCTATTCCAACAATGCGTCTTCAATATTCTCTAGCTTCTTCGACATGATTGCTTCCTCGTTTCTGCCATTTTCGCATAGTTGCCTCAGCTTCGAATTCTCCTCGTGCAAGCACTTAATCGAAATCAACACACACGTGGGGTCGAGACCTGCTTCTTCCACTTGCTCCACTAAATCCCGATAGTGCCTATTCAACCCTTCGATTTCTTCTTTCAAATTCGAAATTTCCCTTTGAAGAGAAATAGCTATCCCAATGTGGTGCGAAACTTCCGTTTCGAGCCTTTCCTTAATCTCCCTCAAACTAAAGATTTCATTCTGCATACTCTCCATAGAAGAGTTCGTTTGGCTCAAACTATCGTTTTCATCTCTAACCTGCCGAATCTCTTCTTCCAAGCAATTTTTGCTAGCTTCAGTTTCTTTCAGCTTTTGAACTACATTTTTGAGCTCAAGCGCAGAGCCATTGGATCATCTCGAGATTTAGAGTGCGAATTTTGCAGAGTCTCGAGAGTGGCTTCGACTTTTTCGTGACGTAAATGCTCGTCCTTTAAACGCACTTTAAGACTCTCCAATTCGCCCTGCTTTTTTGAGAGTTCTTGATCTTTCGCAGCACTCTTTTTCACAAGATTATCCGCTTCGACTCGCAGTGATTGATTCGACTTCTCGAACAGAGCACACTTCTCTTCGGTAGTCTTGAGCTTCGCACTTCCAATCGAGACTTTATCGTTCAAGCATGATATATCTTTCTCGAGCTTGGATATAATTTCCAGGCAGCATTTGTACTGTAGGGCCGAAGCTTCTTTCTCCTTGTTCAGATCAGCAAACGCCCTTTTCAGTTCAGAAACTTCAGCTTCAGCTCTCTCGGCTCGTTTCTTAAGAAGGCTGACCTCATTTTCGATTATAGAGATTTTGTTCTCCAACTCCGATATTTTTTCGAGGCACTGTTTGTACTTTTGCATCACCGTCTCCTTTTCGAGCTCTAATCCCGACATTTTATCTTTTAGGGTTCGAGATTCACTTTCTGCTTCGAATGCTTTTTCGTCGAGCCCCTTCGTATCTTCTTGGAATTTCGAAACCATAGCCTCGAGATCAGATATCCTCTCCAAATACTCTTTCTGTTTGACCAGTCCAGCATTCTTTTCAGCCTCTGATTGAATGAGAGCTTCCTTCAAAGCTTGGGCTTCGATTTCAGCCCTTCCCGATTTTTCTTGTGCCTCATTTATCTCTCCCTCGATTTTACAGAGCTTTACAAGACATTGTTGGTACTGGAGTAGCACATCTTCCTTTTCAGCTTCGATATCCAAAAGGGCTTTCTTTAGCCCTTCAACTTCATTACTCCCGTTTTTTCCTTTGTCGGAAAAATTTAAACTTTGGAGCATTTCGTGCAATTGCTTCAAACCCCGTTTTTTCAACCCTACATCGGAATCTTGAAGCAATTCGTCAGCATCGAACAATGCATGCACGCGTCTTTTTATTTCTAGTGTGAGAGGCTCAATTTTCGAAGGCGATGTTGGATCGATTTAATAATATAGATCGAAAACACGCAGCGGAATAACTTAGAATAGAGAGGAGGAGTAGTGGAGAGGAGATAAAATTATATTACTCACTCAATCAACACGAATATATAAACTCACTGAAGAACTCTCTTTTGATTCTCTCTAAAATACTTCTTCTTGTTTTTTGACTTGCTCCAAATGAAAAACTACATAGACTATTTATAGGATTTTCCTAAACAAATACATGAACACATAATTAATAATATTCTTCCTCCATAGCATTATACATGAATCTCTCCAAAAGACACATTCATGTATTCTTCCACATTCATGAATTATAAAACCTTCAATACTTTGAACTTGATTAATGAATCTGGCTTATTCATTTCCAACAGGCGAGTCATCACCGAGTTCGAAAGGTACTTCTTCGGGAAATGCCTCCGATATGGTTCGATGGGCTTGGCGAAGTTCACCCGTGGCGTGGTTGTACCTTTCTGCTAGTGCACGGTAAGCTCGGTAGAACTCCTCCACAAACTTCATCAACTCGGGCCGTTTCTTGTAGTACATTTCGGCCCGCCTTGCGAATGAGTCCGCATCCGCTTCTATGAGCTTGATCATCGATTTCACTTTGCCATCCATATCTGTGAGATTTTCTTGGAGCCATCTTGAATTTTTGGGGCTAATATGGCTATCCCACCACCACGAGTACATTCGTCTAGAATCAATTATTTTATCAGATTTGATTCCATTTCTGAGTTTATCTCCCGTGTTTTTTTTTTTTTTTTTTTTTTTTTTGGGATAAATCACGCAAAGCTGAAAGATCGGTGTAAGAAACTTCAGTGGTGCCACGTCTCATAAACTTTAGTTGTGCCTTTTGCTAAAAGCAAGAAAACTGACGAAAATCGACCCCTTTCTCCGTTACAGCATGTTTCGAGTCGCAAATAAACCTCATTGTTATTACCAACGCTCTCTTGGTCGGCCATCTGGAAAGACAGGATCAAGAACTTGTTCGTCACTCTTCTTCGAGCCATTAATTTTCTCAGTCGGTTTGCTTTGTTTATATCTTGGTAATGCATCACATTCTTCACCATTAAAATCTGGCGGCACATCATCATCTTCTTCGTCATCTTCGCTCCATTCGCCTTCATCATTTTCTTCATCTTCTTCGTCACTTTCCAAATCCTCGATATCCGACCAAACATCTTCACCGGACCCACCCTCTGTTTCTGTTCCTTCACCCTCTTCACCCCTTGGAGTATTTCTCCTAGGAAACTTCGGTACGTTCACAAGCGCACGAAGCTTCTCTTTTAACGAGCAACATCTTATCTTTTTCAATCAATTGAGAATCTCTATACGCCTCGCGCAGAAAAAAAGAGTCTCGATCCCCCTTTAGGGACACGTAGAACATATCTGGATGCCTAACCAACATCCCTCTAAGCTGCTGAGAGAATCTAAACTCCTCTCGAAAATGTGTTCTCTTCTCAACCGTAAGGCTCAAGATCTCGTGTACAACTGCACACCCATGCCTCTCTTTCTCTGGTGTACCTGCTTTCAAGTCCGAAAAATCGGAATACGGCGAAATGTAAGATATATCTCGAAATTGACCGATCCTTCTCATCTCTCCCTTCGAAAGATCAAGTCCTTTCGGTAATTTCACTCTGTTGAATCTTGGTGCCCTATCGATGATTAAGTTCCTCTCCTCGACTTCTCGTTCTCTTTCGTCATCTTCTGCAATCTCCGATGCTGACATGGCGAGCTCCAGATCCCAATGAGTCAACTCCAAAGCGGGCCCACGTCCGGTGGCAACGACCTTGAAATACTGAGGGTACCGACGGCAAATAGTGTCGCTGAATTCCAATGGAAGCCCTAAATCAGTCTTCAAATGGGCAATCTTCTCTATTTTTAGCTAATCAGAGAAAGACATGTGTCCTACATGACATCATCATCCAGTAGGCGAATATGTCTGTCCACTCGCGCGCCAAGAGGCACCTCATCATCCGAAAAGGTTGCTATTTAAGTTGAATTGGTGCATGGTCACTGTGAAAAGATGCATCACCTTTTCAACCCCTTTTCTTTCCAAAAGTTGTGTCTTTTGGACACAAGTTTTCCAAACCTATAAATAGTGCCCATGCAGAATGAAAATTCACTCATTCGAATCCAAAGCACTCTCCGCATACATAAAGCATATTGTGCATCTCTTCCTTCGTGTCTAGAGAGACCAAAGCTCACGTTTTGTTTACTGTAGTTTGACTTTTGTTGTGATCCAAAAATTGAAACCCTTAAGTCGTTGTATATTGGGACAATTGGCTAAGAACGTAACCACTTATACAGGCCAATCTTGTCTTACGGAGAAAAAATCCAATTCTTGCCTCGACTTCCTCTCTGTCCTAAATTTATGTCTGAATATTCATTTCGAAATATACCTCCTAAATAACAAAAAATAACACTAACACTAATGTTGTAAAACAATGCACCCCAGCACATCAGCCGATGCCCTAACCTACATGGGTTCATTTAAGGCTTTAAGATGCGGCGTCATATTCCGTAAGATGGATACCGTATTCATAGGAATGCCCTTGGATATAACACAACATCGAGTCTTCCAAATCTCTCAACAGCCAAAAAACAAAATTCACAAAGCAATCAGCCCATCCTGCATACGAAAACTATGATCGTGCGCAGGGGCGTTCCTCAGAATTCGGGGGCCCTAGGCGACGTTTAAAGAACATAAGAAAACTGGGGGCCCTATTTAATAAAACTTTTTTTTATTAACGGGTGTTCGAAATTGAATGTATTAAAAAAATATAAATAATATTTTCTAAAAATGATGAAATAAATGTTTATGGGGGTTCGGGGACGGTGCCCCCGAAATATTTTTTGAAATGTATGAATATAAAGTAGCTAAAAATGTGGAAAAAAAATTCAAATTAACAATATGATTTGCTGGTTCACTTCCTCCCGCGACGTATAATCTTTATAGCAAATAGACTTCATAAATATATATAAACTTAAATACACTAATGAATATTGATTCTTATTTACCAACCATCATTATGAGAGTTGGTACTTAGCCTTTACCAATAGGGTAAAGGTCTAGGGTTCGAGTTCCACCATACCCTAATTTCCATTGTAATGGACTTGAATTTACTAAAAAAAAATATTGATTCTTATTTTAGAATAAAAGTAAGTAATTACGACATTATAAATTTAATATTTAGGGGCTCCACAGTTAGGAAAATTGCTGAAATATCTATTGATCATTTAACTTAAATTTATTTTAGAACCGATGTTCCAAAATATTATATATAATATTTTTTTTTTAAATAAGTACTAATATATAAAGTGTAAATAAAATAATTTGGGGGCCCCAAATTTTCGTAAAAATTCGGGGGCCCTAGACGACCGCCTACTTCGCCTCCCCTCAGAACCGGCCCTGATCGTGCGTCCAAGTTTTAGTAAGACATCGGATTGACCCATAATGAACAATTGTATGCCAAATCGAGGCATAAAATTGCCAAACTTTCTGAGCCACGCCGATTGAGTAAAAAGATGAATCAAGTCTTCTTGATGTGATCGGCACAACACCGACAAAGGAAAGTCCACATGAATCGCACCATGCGAAATTCTCCTAAAGAAAGATTCGATTTTCAAAGGAATTTTAGGGTGCCGAATCCCTTTCGAGAAATTATGCACAGGGCTTTTGGTACGGATAAGCTTCCAATAATCCGCCACATTAAACTTCCCATAAATGGATTCCGTAAAAAAATATTGATCCTGATAAAAATCATCCAGTGAGATCAACTCGAAAAACTTATGTTGATCGGCAGAGAGAAAAGGTTTATATAGATCGGGCTGAGCCTTTGCTTCTTTCAAAGTTAAGGTTTTATTTGCATCGAGATGGTGACCTTTGCTTCTTTAAAAGTTAAGGTTTTATTTGCATCGAGAATGTCACCATCATACCACCGAGCCCTCCAAAAATCAATTTGGGCCTAACAATAATCCAACGACTATGATTCTCCAAAATGTGAAAATGATCTAATATTTTGCAACAAAGAATTTTTGCATGCAATGGATGAAAATCACGAAAAATATCACCATATTTATCTCTAGCAAACCTTGTCCAAAGAGACTCGCCCTCTAGAACATTTCACGCCAACTTGCTTGCCAGTATATTATTCACGTCAAAAAGTGATTTAAAGTCTAAACCGCTTTTTTCCTTTGGACAACATACTTTCTCCCAGCTAACCCAATAAATGCATGTTCCTTCTGTTTTACCCTATAAAAATTTGCAAAAAAGACTTTCCATTCGAACAGGATTTTGAGAAGGAACCACCATAGATGATAGAGTATGAGTTGGGAGTCTACTCAGCACCGATTGTATCAAGGTCATCGTACCACCAAAAGATAGAAATTTTGCCCGCCATCCTGACAATCAATTTTGGACCTGCTGAATTAGATAATCGAAGTGTTTAGCCAAACACCTCCCTCGATATATTGGCACTCCCAAGTACGGTAACTACAAAGCTTTATGCGAGAAACCACTCCATTCCTTGAGGCGAATGATTTTATTTGCACGGAGGTGTTTCGACTGTGTAAAAGCCACTCTTATCCAAGAAAATCAATTTTCCAGACGATTCTTCATATTGTTTCGACATCGACCTTAAATTCTTGATTAAAGCCTTACAACCATCGGTAAATAAAAGCATGTCATCGGTGTAAAAAAGATGAGAGATAGGAAGCGAATCCCTTCGAAAATTATACGCATTAATACCCCCTTGCATCTCCAACCTTTAAATATTGAGAGTGAGGATATCTTTTGCGCTACGATGAACAGCAGAGGGAAGAGAGACTCACCCAGAGGAACTCCACGAAATGACTTAAAATGACATAAGACTCTCCGTTGATTAAGCAATAATACCATATATTTGAAAAGGATCTATACATAAGATCACAGACTTGATGCAAAAACCCTAGGGCCTGCATGGCTTTAAAGAGAAATCTTCATTCCAACTTATCATAGGCTTTGGACATGTCGAATTTGAAAATTATATTGCCACCCTCGACTTTCCTATCAATATCGGAAACCAACTCCTGAGCGATGGCTATCAAATCATGTATGTTACGATCCATAAGAAACCCAGTTTGCTCTTCCGAAATAATACTGAGCAAATATACACTCAAACGCGAAGCAATGATTCTTGAGATTATCTTACCGGCAAAGTTCCCCAGGCTGATAGAGCGAAAATGATTGATCGAATCTAGATTAGTGACTTTCGAAAGAAAAAAACATAAGAGTTGTAATGCCCTTAGAGAGGTGATCGCCTAAAAAATATCCATGAACAGTCTGCATGAGGTCTGTTGGTTGTAATACCTACATGCAAATGCACGTATCGTACAAGTAATAAAGTGGACAATTAAGTCCGAATATCGATCCCACAGAGAATATTTAATTATCTAATCCTAGACGCTAAATTCTACCAATTATTATCAAGCCCACCCTACACAGTCGACTTTAGAGAGAATTAACTAAATTAAAGAAAATTAAAAAGATAAAACAAGAAAGGAAATCTAACACGAAGATTTATCAGAGTAAACAAGCCAAGGATTTTATTCTTCCCCCTATGTGATTATTACTCCCCCAATTCCTTCAATTATGCAAGCAATTAACCCGGATTATTAACCTGAGATGCTAAATTAATCATAACCCGCTTCCGCGTGTATTACGATTCTAATACTCTAGATTCAATCACTGTATTCCTACGCAAT